CCTACCAAACAATCAACTGTTGAATGAAATGTTTACAGATTAGTCTGAATGGAGTTTCTCTGGTTTGTGCTTAAAGCTTCCCATGAGGAAGAGTCTACATCAGAGTCAGTGGAAACAGTTTTCACAGTTGAACAGAATGCATGTGAGTACATTGTACATGGGCAAGAAGCAAAATGTTGATGTTGAAAGATATTAATATTTTAAACTAGAAGTAGACCAAATGGTACCAAAACCTTTTAACTTTAGTTAGCAAAATAGATATTGAGCATGTGGTAAATAGCAGCAGTCAAACTGTATCTAACATAATAATATCTGTCCGTCAAAAAGCTTCTCGTGAGGAAGAGTCCACATCAGAAATAGAGGAAACAGTTTCCACAGTTGTACAGAAAACATGTGAGTAGGCAACTATCAAAATGTCATTAGGCCACACCAGTTTAATTTCTTGGTTAACGGATTTTTCTACAAAAATAATGGAGCGGGCGGGCGAAAAAAAAAAAAAAATAAAAACAGGCCTAGGCACCTATTATGGCCCAAAATGGTATGATAGGAGCCATGAAGTCAACACACCAGGCTGGTTTAAAATTTAAACAATGAATTTTGAACTTTTAATGATACCATTGCATTGAAAGATGGAATAACTGTAACAACTAGGAAGAAAAGGACTGTTTTCAACTGTTCAGGGCAAAATATGAGCATTTTGCAGCTGATTCTGAATTTTTATTTTTATTTGCAAATCAGAGAAAAATGAAGCGGGCGAATCCGTTAACCAAGAAATTAAATTGGTGTGGCCTTATTAAGATTTAAAAAATACACAGTATGCAAAACATTCTCTATGATCTCAATTATCCTGTCAATGTTATATTGGGTGACAATAAGCTTTTAATTCAATTCAATTCTTTATTAACATACCAAACATAACAGACAAACATGGCATACAATGTTGGCTGAAAGGCGTTGATATTTGCATGTATACAAAATATCAAAATATCATATATTTAGTACAAAAACTATAAAACAGTACAGTAAGTGTACAACCCAGATATTTACAAGGTCCATTATCTTGTGCCAGACTCTATCTGTATAGTCTGGTTATAATAGAGTCTGATTGACTGGTGAAGGAAGGAGTTCTGTAGACGTTACGTAGTCATGTAATTGTAACATTTAATGTCACGTTGTGATTGTTTGGTCTCACAGCACCAAACTTAGTAGTACAGTATCCAACTCATAATATCTGTCTGTCAAAAGCTTCTCTTGAGGAAGAGTCCACATCAGAAATAGGGGAAACAGTTTCCACAGTTGGACAGCAAACATGTGAGTAGACAACAATCAAAATGTCGTTATTGACAGATACACAGTATGCAAAACTCTATGGTCTCAACTACCCTATCAATGTTATATTGGGTGACAATAAGCTTTTAATTCAATTCTTTATTAACATACCAAACATAACAGACAAACATGGCATACAATGTTGCCTGAATGGCGTTGATATTTGCATAATGTCAAAATATCATATATTTACAAAAACTATAAAACAGTACAGTAAGTGTACAACCCAGATATTTACAAGGTCCATTACCTTGTGCCAGACTCTATCTGTGTAGTCTGGTTATAGAGTCTGATTGACTGGTGAAGGAAGGAATTCTGTAGTCGTAGTCATGTAATTGTAAAATTTAATGTCACGTTGTGATTGTTTTGTCTCAAACAGCACCAAACTTACATGTAGTAGTACAGTATCCAACTCATAATATCTGTGTGTCCAAAGCTTCCCATGAGGAAGAGACCATATTAGAGATAGGGGGGACAGTTTCCACAGTTGTACAGAAAACATGTGAGTAGACAACAAATGATTAAAATAATATTCATATGGAAACATAGATCAGAATGTGGTTTTGATGCAGTCTGCAATTCTCTTGGCTATCCTATCAAGTTGATTATATTGGATGACAACAAGCTTCTTATTCTACATAACATTGTAAATGACATGTGTTGTCAGGTAAATGAAGTTACATGTTTTTTGTCTCAATTGAACCATCAAACAAACTTAGTAAAAAAAATTTAATAATTTTATTGAAAAAAAAGGTAAATAGTTACTGTACATGTACGTACAGTATCCTACTCATAATATCTGTTTGTCAAAAAGCGTCCCACAAGGAAGAGACCATATCAGAGATAGGGGGCACAGTTTCCACAGTTGTACAGAAAACATGTGAGTAGGCAACAATTAATGAAAACGTTGATATTGAATGATGTTAACTAGATGAAATAGTTTTCATGCAGTATGCAAAACATTCTCTCTACTATCCTTTTAACGTTATCGGGTGACAACAAGCTCTAATGGTAAATGACTTGGTGAATCATCTGAAAACATGTATCAAAAGAATGTACATACAATGTATTAGGCAGGCATCAAAAAGTACATTTGTAAATACTTAGTAACAGTATCTAACTCATAATACATACTGTATCTGTCTAAAAGCTTCTCGTGATGAAGAATCCACGTCCACTGTTTTCACAGTAGAACAGAAAACATGTGAGTAGAAAACAATCAGGAAACCTTTTATCAGGAAAACTTTAAGTTCATACCATGCAGAATAACTGTTGAAGTTGGGGAATACAAAATGTTATCTGGTTCTTAAGACTATGATTGTGTGGAATGGATACATTAATGGTCTCATCAAACAGGTGTGAAGAAAAGAGCATTAATACAAGTCTAAGAGAAAACTATAAGGCACTTAAAGTACCTCCAGCCTTAGAAACATTAATTGTGTGATCTGATGATGAGTTTTGCTGTCCTACAAAGCTAAAGCTGTCATTACATGTCTTCATCCAAAAGTTTATCATGAGGAAGAGTCCGCATCAGAGACAGTGGAAACAGTTTCCGTGGTTGAACAGAAAACATGTGAGTAAGATTCAGATGCTGCAGCACTGTGGTCATTCTGGCATGTTTAAGAAGTGTGCACATCTTTAAAATTCAAACTAGATACGGCTCCCATTCTAGTTAGTTTTCCATAGCTTCTATACAAAATGATGGTCATTTCAGCACTAAGGAGAGATCCTGTCACAAGATTATACTCCCTGCTAACCAACTAAACTATGTAAGTATGGGAGCCATGGAAAACTAAGTAGGATGGCACCCAGGCTACTGTCCTCTTACTTTTACTGTAACATTTTACAACATGTTGTACAGCTCAGATATTATGTAATCGAGCATAAACTTGATTGATTTTTACCCTTGTTCCAGTTGTCTTATTTAAAAGTTTGATTTTATCTGTCCTTAAATGCCCCCCCCCCCAATGACCAGTCCAACTGGAAGAAATCTTGACCACCCAGAGTCTAGACACTGTCTGCTACGCTGAGAAAAGTAGGTAATCCCATGTAACCTGTAACATTAAAATAAGTTAAATATTATACAGTAACCTACTGTAGTACTAAACTGTTCATGCACTCAAAAGCTTGGTTTAAGCCATAATGCTGATTGCTTTACACTGAATTGTACTCAAATTATACTCTAACTTAGTCTAAGTACTTTTTGGTTGGGGATACTTGTTTAAGGTGCATTAACTTGTTTCTAACATGTGTTTCAGTATTTCTGACTTGACACATTTTTTAGATATGATACAGACTTGAATTTTGTGAGACTGTGTTAGGAATGCTACATCTGGTCGCAAGTACTGGTGCAAAATGTTTCCCTCACTCATCAGTTCTTTTGATTTATGATAAACAAAATCATATGAGACATGGTAACTACAGTTTTCTCTCTGTGCCTTCCCTTGGAAGTCACTGTCGGTGGAAAGGAAACATGTACGACAAAAATAGAAGACTCTCTGTCTGACAGCCACAAAAGTAAGTAGAAATTGCAGGAGAGGAAAATTTCTTGTCAGCATACAAAATAATGTACATAGAGTTGAAAGTCTTTCTTGTGCAGATTTCAAGTACTGTAGTTTTCTAGAAGCAGTGCATATTTGGTTTCTTCTCAACTAACCCCCTCCTCCTGTTGTTCTTTCTGATTGCCTCTGGGAAGGTCAAGTTGAAGAGAGACATGAGCAACATCAGATGGAATCTATGTCCATCGCTCAACGGAGTAGGTTTCTTCTGTCAATCAGTGTTTTTTGAAAGAGACTCTTTTTACGTACAACCAAGTTAGTGTTTTATTCAGGTGGCATTTTGGTTAACCGTTTGTCATCTCCCTCTACGCAATTTTGACTGGTTCACATTGCACATTCCATGTTCTTTGCATTTGGAAATGCATCAGATTTTTTATTTTACTTAATATGTTATGTATGTGTCAAGGCGTTGTCATAGTGTACTGGCATGTCTGCTACATGTAGATGTAGATATAGTTTCAAACTTTCTGATTGAATAATTTGTCATATTTAAGAAGCTTTCTCCATGTACATGTCTTGAAGTTCATGTATACGTGTGCTGTACTGACTCGTCTGTCTTCTCTTGTGGCTTTACCTGGAAGTCAAAATGTTTGAGAAAAAATGTCAGACCGAGAAATCGTTCTCTAGCTGTGAGGAAGTACAGCAGGGTAAGTTGTTTGTTTATAAGTACTTCATGTAGACATATCTTTTTCACGGTCTTACAAGACCGACGAAATGCCTACTGCTTACTATTTGTTTCAGCCATTGTTTATTCATTGGTCTACTGGAAGCTTTACATTGAGATCATTAGGGAAGAGGTCAGGGTCAGACATTCACCTATTTAAGAAACTACAAGTTAGAGAGTTTTTTTACCTATGTAAATTGCAATAGCTATAGTACATGTGAAGATGTCTTCATCAGAGCCATTCACATGTACATTGTACATTGTCAACAGTAACTACATGTAACTGCAGTACTACTGCTCACAGTAAGGTGGTGCTGTGGCAGTAATGCTGCTTTGACATATGCATGGAGCTTTTGATCACAGGACTACATGGGTTACAGCAAGGTACCACCATGAAGATCACAAAATTCACAGTTACTGTAACTTATCTTTATTCCCCCCCGCCACAGGAAGTGATGTGGACTCTGCGGCCTTTGACCTGCCCGATGGCTCCAGCCCAGATCCCTTGCTTGGGGCCAAGTATGTACCCAGCAGCCTCGGTCAAGGTCTAGGCAAGGCAGCAAAGGAGGTAGAAACAATGTGTTGTCTTCTCTCTCCATTTCAAAACATTAAGTCCTTTTTATTTCACAATCTTTATACTGAATGACAGATTTTGTAATGGACAAGATCACTTGCTCACACCATCGAGGTTGCTTGGAACCTTTTCATGACTTTACATGTACCTCCTCATTTCTAAGTATCCTGCATTGCTGCAACCAGCACATTTCTCTCAGGTTATTTATGTATGAATGGGCATTGGGCAAGAGACATAGTATTACATGTCAAATATCATCTGGAATTAAGGCTTATAAGCCAACACTTTCCAGATGTGCATCATCTTTTGAGATGGAAGGATGCCTAAAACTACTGTAACAGTAGTACATTTACTACTACTACTACTACTACTAACGGTTACTACATGTATTACTACAGTACTACTTCCACTACTACATTGTATTACTATTACTTTTAAACCTACACAATTGTAAATTGTAAGTAATATTGTCCATTGTATCTCCATTTCCTAAGAGTCTGTCATTTTCACCTTGCAGACAAACGACCTTCAGAAATCCTCGCTCCCAGCATCCTCCAAGCTGAGCAGGAATGCACCCCCCTTCCTGGACCCTAACCACACCCCCTCCCCCTCCCCTCCTCACGACTCCCCACCCCCTGTACCCACATCCCCCCTCCCCAGAGATTCCCCGCCTCCTCTCCCAAGGTCGTCCCTGCTGCCTGGATCGGAAGGACGCCCCCCTCCCCTCCCTACCAGCCCTCTCCCTGACAGTGATGATGATGATGATGATGTGACCAGCAGTAAGATCTCCTGGGGCAGTGATGATGACCTGCCCATGCCCAGTGACACAGAGGACCAGCAGTGTAAGTAGAGAGGAACTAATTATGTTCAAAATATATAAATCGTTTTTGCGCAGTTTATTCTTCTTCTCCAAACAATTAGAGTCTATGACCTGGATCAGATGGCTGTTACCATGGTAACTGGTGCTGTTAAAGACGTGCTGTGGTGTTGGATTACATTACGTAGTACACACATGTAAGCTTGATGGGCAGTTCAAGCTTAGTTTAATGACATCTTTTTCCATGTATTTTATACACACTGATTTTTTTCATGCAGAGTCATCATCACCAATTTTTACACAAATTGGACAAAAGTTTTGCCTGTCACGAGCAGCAAAACATTTATTCATTCATGTTTTTCCCTAGCATCTGGAAACCCTCCTGCTGCTGCTAACACCCTGCTGACAGAGAGTGACCTGGAAGAGATGGAGGTGGTGTGCCCTCCCCCAGGCAGCAGGTACTCCGGAAAACCCCTGCAGAGCCTCATCTCCACAATCCAGGGCAAGATGAAGGCTGATGAACCTGTGGAAGAGTACAAGGTGGGGGAACAATGTAGTCAAAACTGGACAAATTGTTATGGATGAAAATTAGCAACTGGACTGAGTGGAACAGTGTTTTCTGATACCGGTAACTCAAAACCATTCTGCTATTATAAGTTTCTTGACAAATTTTTAGCTTTTCATATTCCAATAGTTATTATGATTATTATAACTATTACTGTAGTTTCAATAGTTAATGTGTCATCAATAGTTTATGTGGCCGAATTAGAATAGGATGCTCAGGGTTTTTTTCAATAGGGTTGAACTGTCCAAAAAATTGTTACTCAAGCAGCTGGATGTTTTTGCTCAAGGAACATTGTTTGCAAAGATCTTTCAGTCTTCTCGTCCTTGTATTGTTTCATTACATAGTTTTACTGGGTGCTCAGTTTTGTTGTACAAATGTTGTACTGCCTGTTTAACTGTCCAAAAATTTGTTACTCAAGCAACTGGAAGTTTTCGCTCAATAACCTCGTTTGCAGTCTTCCTGTCTTTATATCTTTCCTTAGGCCACACCAATTTAATTTCTAAATCTTGGTTAATGGATTCGCCTGCTTCATTTTTTTTTTTTTGATGATTTGCAAAAAAAAAATTCAGAATCAACTGCAAAATGCTCATATTTTGCCCTGAACAGTTGAAAACAATCCTTTTCTTCCTATTTGTTACAGTTATTCCATCTTTCAATGCAGTGGTGTCATTAAAGTTCAAAAATTCATCATTTGTTTAAATTTGAACCAGCCTGCTGTGTTGACTTCATGGCTCCTATGGTACCATTTTGGGCCATAATAGGATGCCTAGGCCTGTTTTTATTTTTTTTTTTTTGCCCGCCCGCTCCATTATTTTTCTCCATTATTTTTCTGGAAAAATCCGTTAACCAAGAAATTAAATTGGCCTTAGTAAACGTACAATGTAGGTGCTCAGTTTTGTTGTACTATGAATATTGTACCTCCTGTTTCCCCAGGCCCTGAGACAGCTGAAGGCGACGGACAACTGTGAGGTGGCGAAACAGCTGCAGAACCGCGACAAGAACCGCTTCAGGAACGTCCTGCCGTATGACAACACCAGGGTACAACTGGGGGAGGACGGGGACTACATCAACGCCAGTCATGTCAGGTTAGTACTGCCCACTGCTTGAAAGTTCTTCTGAGGCAATTAAAACTTTTGTGGCGTTGGTGGTGCAAGGGTTAGAGCGTTGGACTTGGAGCCAATAGGTCCCAGGTTTGATACCTGGTACCTCCTAGATGCAATATACATGTACAATGTGTGACTGATATGCATTATGTGACTGATGCAGAACACATTCATTAAGTGTGGAATACACTCTGCTTTATTGAATGCACATTAACTTTAATGCAGAATACATTCACTTAATGCAGAATACATCCATTGAATGCAGAATACATCCATTGAATGCACAGTGCATTTATTGAGTTAGGAATTTCTGTTTTCAGTTGTGAACATGCGTCTGTCTTTCAATCAAAATTGAGATGATGGAAAGAAATTCAGGCTGCCTAGAACACTGATTTTTACTTTTATCCAACTCAAAGAATTACTCTTAGTCTAAAATTTTTCTCAGCGCTCTAACCCAATTGCTATGATCACCTTTTGTTTTTTCCATGTCATGTCATTGATATGATTGCGATTGCTGACTGTGTGTAGACAAAAGAAAAGTTTTTTTTTGGCATCAGGAATTTTCATGTGAGATTCCAAAGGTTTCCATTGCTGTGATATCAATATTTTTTTTTTGTCCCTTCCACCCAGAATTCCAGTAGGGAGTGACCAGTTCCACTACATCGCCAGTCAGGGTCCACTACCTGTCACTGCAGGGTCATTCTGGCAGATGGTGTGGGAGCAAAGGGCAGAGGTCATTGCCATGGTAACCCTGGACACGGAGGGCGGGAAGGTATGTAGTTTTTTTGTCGTTTTTTTCTTTATGTTGAAGCCAAGATGACAAATTTGAGTCAAAGTCATGGTCAACATAAGCCTCTAAGCAAACCTTAATATTTTATGATAATCATAGTTTTACACACTTTTTGCTCAGGTTGTTTTGTACCTTTGAGTTTAACGTTGATTTTTTGTGTACCTTTGAATGTGCCTTTGGGAATACTGAGTCTCTATTTAGGCCGTTTTAGCCCAAAAAAATTACATAAGGTCTCGGACCGGAGTTTTTTTCACGATTTTGGATCCGGCGGACACCCTCAGACCGAAGGGCTATAACTCCGCCAAAAAAAGTACGCCGGGAAATCTCATTACATCAGTCAACGGAGGTTTCCAGCCGGCTTCCGATACAATTTTGGTTATTGTCCGTCGACTCTATAATTTGGGTAGAAACTGTAGTTAAACGTAAATTTTGGATACGAAAAATGTTGTTTTTTTGCAGTTTTTTCAACGGACCTGCTTGGAAAAAACGAATTTTCCCAGGCTAACGGCTTATATGCTGAAATAGCTTACTACTTTCTGTTTCTGAAAAACAGAAAAAAATATAGGTTGTTGCGATAAGTTTTTCGCAAAATCCGGTGACGCGAACCCCTAGAAATTCCACATAGAACGCAGCTATTTGGGTCATCAGGCGACAAACCGCATCACCCTTGCTCGCGGACTAATACCAAAACGCTTCGCTGGCCGTCCAACTTCACCGCGCCGAAAAACACTACAATCCCAAGGCTTTTTGATCAATTCAAAACCTAGTTGAAAATCTACAGCGATCGCCGAGCTATGGGGAGCCAAACCTAGCGTGACAACCTCGCAGATCCGGCGATTTACTGCACACTATTTGGAACCCTGGTCAGAATTAAACTCCGACCCGGAACCATAAATGACATCAAAGTTGTTTTGATTTTACTAGTACAAAACCCTCTGAAAAGGTAGTGGTCATACAATAAGTAGTTTTTAATTAGGAGAAAAAATCATTGTCCAAATAGGATTAATGCTTGGGTTACTGGGAAAAATTATTAATGAATGAAAGACCTTTATTGTACGTTTGTGCTCTAACAAGCTAAGTACAGGTCATGAATAAACAGGGAAAAAGAATACATCAATAACACTTAAACTTAATACATACTAAATGTGATCTACTATTCAACTTCTTCTCGCTTCTTGACACTGTTTAAGATGTACGAACATATTGAGCTCATGATACATGGTTTGTCAAGTTTCACAAGGAATGCAAATTTTTCTGTTTTATCTAAAAGTCTAAAGCTTCGGAACTTATCTATTATATAAGTATAGAGGGAATCCCTCTCATTTCTATATAATGTACAATCAACTACAAAATGGCATTCATCCTCAATATTATCTAGATTACAATATTGTCAGATCCTTTGCTGTAGAGGAATGCGGTTGTGTCTGCCTTTTAAGTGGCCACAACCAGCTCATACAGTTGGTGGTCATACAGTTTTGGTCGTGGTTACTTCTGCTCTAGGTAAAGTGCCATCGTTACTGGCCCGACTCGTCAGAAACTCCGCTGACATTCTGGAACAAGTACGAGGTCAGCCTAGTCTCCTCCCAGGCTCTGGAGGACTTCAACATCCGCGCCTTCAGCCTAAGGGACCTGGAGGTGAGACTATAGGGCTTATTCTAGTGACATCTTGGCGTTGTGTGGCATAGGGTGTTTGGCAAAGGACCCAAAGGTACTGGGTTCGAATCCCCTGACGTGCCCCAACCTTTGGTCTTTCAAAAAGTACTCGACACAACTTTCCTCACTTCACCAAGGTGGAAATGAGTTTCTACATGTAGCTTAAGATAGGTACGTCACTCGAATAGGACATTAAATGAAGGTTTCGTTTTAGTGCAGACATGCACGGCTTTTGATTGTGTTTGCATGACTTCTGATCGCAATTTGCATGCGTGTGTATACTGTTACAGTAATACATTAATATTCTCAGTTTTCTTTAAACATCAACATTAACACATTAACTTCCCGGTTAGGCTGAGCCTTTACAACGTTATATTTGGTCACATAGATAATTGTCCATCTATTGTTAATACAGTTATTCTACTAGCAAAAATGTACATTTTCCGAAATAGAGATTCCAAAGTAGTTGCCTTAAAAGGTTTTGTTAAATTCGTTATTACTTATTGTAAGATTGAGTTCATTATTGCACAGAATTGTCAAAAAGTAAAGAAACATATGGGAAATTGGGGAACACTACTGTCTACACAATTATCTTGTTACATAGAGACCGCTTGTAAACTGTTTTGGATTACTAGCTATTTTTTTTGTCTTGTACACCACTTTACTTTATTTATATTCATACTTATTTATAGTAATACTTTCTTGAAAATGCAATTAAAAAAAATCAAACTGTTGCTTCCCCAGACAGGAGAGGTTCGCTCGGTGACTCACCTGAACTTCACCACCTGGCCTGACCACGGCGTCCTCAAGTTCGCTGACCCCCTCCTCCGCTACACCCGAGTCATCCGCAGATTCCACCAATCAGGGCCCATTGTGGTGCACTGCAGCGCCGGGATTGGTCGGACGGGAGTGTTGATTCTGGTCGATGCTGTGATTGGCCTTGTGGAGAGGGACCAACTGTTTGATATCCAGAAGTTGGTGGAGACCATGAGAGAGCAGAGACAGGGGATGGTTCAGACAAAGGTATTGTGGAGGGGGGTGGCTGTCTACTTTTCACAAAAGTGAACAACAAAACTTGAATGAAGTGAAAGCTTGACAGAATGAAAGCTCAGGGACTTTTGTATAGCAGGGCTCGGGTGCATGTGCACCTTAGTGCACCCAAATTTGGAGCTGTGCACCCAATATTTTTCCGTGGGTGCACCAGTGCACCGAAATATTTTACAAGGTTTCTGTTGAGATGTTAAATGTATAGTTAGTATATGACACATTCTTTAAAAAAATTAAGGTAATGACATCAAAGTGTCAGAAAAATAATCAAATTATTGCTATAGTACTTTTCTCTAGAAATGAAATATAATTAGTTTTTGCTGATATTCTACTTACTTTATCTTATATATTGCACCCCAAAAGTGCACATATTCCCAAAAATTGATTTCGAGCCCTGTATAGTATTGGGTTTGTGTGTTTAAAGTTGTTATTAGGACTTCTACAACTTTCAGCATACAAAGCTAATGCCATACACGCAATAGAAAAATTGTATTAAGACTATCTAACCTCTTTTCTGCTTTGTTCTGATTATGTTTTTTCAGTGAAGCATAATCTTATTTCAATCCGAAAACCAGCAAATTTAGTGTGGATTTACTGTTTTTTTTACTGTTGAGGTGTTCATGTTTACCTAGCTGAACTGAACTAATCTTTGAAATATGGGAACAGAGAAAGATGATGAATTTATTAGTAGTTTCTTAGTAGTTATCAGTAGTTCTATGTGTACTAATTGTCTGTTTTTTTTTATACCAAATGTTTCTTCTGTTTCTGCAATTAGCCCTCGGGCATGAATTTGCAATAAAACATTCATTACAGATGCTAAGGCCACACCAAGTGAATTTTATGGATGACGTCCTTTGGATACCCTAAATCTAATGCGAGAGGGCAAAAAAAAACACAAGAAGGGCCCTAAAAAACAAGATGCCTAGATAAGAAATATTGCACTGCTGACAGGACCATCCTGTCTGTTAATAGTTCCAAAAACGGCACTGCTTTGGAACTATTGACAGGATTTTTTTCAGTGCCATTTTGTTTTTTTTTTTTCATTTTTGTTTTCAATTTTTTTAACCAGGCACAGGCTTTCGGTGTTACGGGTTTCACGGTCTGACGATTTGCGGCACTGTCGTGACTCTTTGGTCATAGTTACAGAAAGCGGAATTTCTTGTTTTTTTTTTTCTAGGAACAGGCCAAAATCAATGCGTGCGCGGACGTTATCCATAAAATTTACTTGGTGTGGCCTAATCCTGATTTTCAACATTCTCCATCCTTTACAGGAACAATATGTCTTCTGCTACCAGTGCTGCCTGGAAGTCTTACAGAGTCTCAAGTAAACATCGTCAAGCCAAGACTTCTCAAAAAAAGTCTCAAGGGTCTCTTGCAAGATGTTGCAAGCCCAGTCTGAACTTAAGACATTCAAGCCAAGTCTTCTCAAGAAAGGTCTTAAGGGTCTCTTGCAAGATGTTGCAAGCCCAGTCTAAACTAAAGACAGTCAAGCAGAGTCTTCTCAAGAAAAGTCTCAAGTCAAAAGTGTCTAACCAAGATCTCATGAGTGGTCAAGGCAAGACTTCTCACGAAAAGTCTCAAGTGTCTAGCCAAGATGTCTCAAGTAGTGAGTCTCAACTAAAGACAGTCAAGGCAAGACTTAGTCTTCTCAAGAAAAGTCTGAAGTCAAGTGTGTCTAGCCAAGGTGTCTCAAGTAGGGTATCAACTAAAGACAGTCAAGGCAAGACTTAGTCTTCTCAAGAAAAGTCTGAAGTCAAGTGTGTCTAGCCAAGGTGTCTCAAGTAGGGTATCAACTAAAGACAGTCAAGGCAAGTCTTCTCAAGAAGTGTCTCAAGTCAAAAGTGTCCAGTCAAGATTTATCAAGATGACCACTGCTTGCCAGTACGTGAGATGCCCAAACTGGCCACTATTGATGCAATATCATAAAAAAAGCTTTGACCTTTACTCACAACGATGTATGATAGCATACTGTACATAAGCCATTATCTGAAATATATAAAAGTGTGCTTTAGCTTAATGTAAGGGTATCTAAGGTGATTTTTTACAGGAAAGGGTGAAAATAGGAAATGGTGAATTCTGTGCCTTTTTATGTAATCATTGAGTATTAAGAACCCCTAACATGGAAACTTTGTCAGCGCGTTCAATGAATTCTGTACATACAGTGGAAGGAAATGTAAAGTGCCTTAAGTTACGTTTGAAATTCTAGCCTTAACTTCAAGGGGTTAGTGCACTTAGGAATTTTACCAGAAGCTGGTGGAAGGAAACCATTATGCAATATAAGCACAAGCTGAAAGGACAGTGCATTTTTAAGGTTGTTCGGTGTGGAACATTACCAATAAGTGGACGTAACAAAAGCATATCCAGTTAATTCTATGTGTTGTTTCCATTTTGTACATACCTTTTGTAAGAAACCATTTTTAGTATATCTTTTAATGCATAAATAAATTGCGCATCAAAATGTAGCTTTTTATCATTTTGTACATACGTTGTTTAAGTCAATACTTGTGGAACTTCTTGAATGTGTATTTTCACTTTCTAGACTGAACTAACTTTTAGCAGCTCTATTGCAAACACAGTACTAAACATTTTTCCTTTTTGTCTTAAATGTGTTCCTTTTTTGTTTTAAGGCATTGCTATCTGTGTTAAACATTTTTTTTTTATTTTAAAAGAATTCAGCCAATAGTTTACTATTTGAGTTGATAGTCACCAAGCTGTTGAGGTGTGTCTGTATGAGCCTCTTACTGTCTTATATTCCATCCTATATTCTCATATATTGTCTGCCAGTTGTGTAAAAGTAGGATAGAATCCACACGAACTTCCTTGTAAAAATGATGCACACTTGCCAATAGAAGAATCTGTACATTCTGACTCTTGTGTGTTTATTTCTCAATGACTCTTCACCAAATACGTTGGTATTTTTTCTATTTGAAAAGTCGTTGTCTGCCAAATGCCTGGTCCGTTGTGTGGACAGGTATCAACGTCCCGGCCAGTTGACATCTTCATGAGGATCCCCTGTCTCTGTGTTGTCTGAAGCAACATCTGTGTAAAAACAAGAATGCGGAGATATCAGACCTCCACGAAGTATTTAGATCATGTCCTCATTCACAAGCCTATAGTGCACGAGAAACAATAGCTGTCAAGGAGGTCATGTATTGGAAACTACCTGTCAAAACAGCGAGCGGTACCAGTCTTGTGGACGTGATTAAGGACTTGCTCCCTCTGGCTAGCATGTCCATATCACCAGGTATCAAAACCGGAAGTTCCTCTGCACTACCATAATAAGTCACTAGGGGGCGCAAAATCTAATTGTTTCAAGGTCGCATCAAGACCTTCCTACCTACCAAGTTTAACGACAACCCATCTTATGTAATAGTTTCTCAAGTTATTGTGCTAACTGCGTCGTGCGTCGACGGAAATGACGGCCACTGTGATGACAAACAGGAACATGATTCTCAGGGAGACGCCCATGGCTTCACCTGTAGGTATGACGTATGAGTATCATCGATGACGAAAAGCACATGTTATACATGCCCGAATATGGCCTCCAGAACACTGCCGATCGGCTACTGATTGGCTGCTGCGCTAGCCGGATGTTTCAAAAATGTTTCAAATACATGTGTTTGATAATACCATGGAGCATGGAGGTAGAAAAAGCGCAAAAATCTACCTGCATGATGATACACATGTAGTAAAAAACACAGGTTCGATGATATATGTAGGATTTGACGACAGTAACTACAGTGTCAAAGTAAAGAAAACATACTTGTACTGTTTGTTCAACCACATATATGTAACGTTAATTATATAAGCTAATACATTGTACGTATATTTGCCCCAAACCCGGGTTCCTAGAGGTTGAAGCTATGACAACTTCGAGGTGGGGAGGGCAAACCCTGGGGAAGGGTTAAATCCCAGGGACAACCGGCTCCCTTTAAACAACCGCGTGAAACATTCAGCATTACACAGGTACATATTCTACAACTTTCGTCAGAAGAGAAATGGCTACAGAAATGTCCTACCTTGATAAAACATTCAACATGTCAAAATGTCCTACCTTGATAAAACATTAAACATTACACAGGTACATATTCTACAACTTTTGTCTGTAGAGAAATGGCTACAGAAATGTCCTACCTTGATAGAAACAGAGGACAAGTTCACGTGTCGTCAGTTGAAGAGCAGCCTTGGAAAGACAGGCCGCAAAAAGTTACCGAACAACTTTGTCACATCAAGGTCGTCAAGGACGTTCCAGACGTCACATCAATTTAATTGGGCCTAAGATGTCAACAGAAGGCGGATATCGTTGTCCCAACAATGTTGCCTCCCAAATAATGACCCCCCCCCCTCCCCAAGACGAAAGCTTTCGTCAGGGATTTCGACCAGTTACGGAGTTATCCTCCCTCAAATATTTTGAAACAAACGCTCCTGCAGTTTCAGTACAAGCTGCTAGGGAGCCCATAAGCCATCTACCATCCGAATTTTTAATCCTAGCATGTCCAATTCACGGAATATAAAAACCGCTGCAGTACCGTAACAAGCCGCCACGTGGCCCAACATCTAATCATTTTGAGGACTCATCTAGACCTTACCAGGATTCATGATACTATAGTAATCCATCCATATAGTGTTATCGTGCAACACTACACACGCGCGCGCACGCACGTACAAACACGCACGCACACACACACACACGCGTACACACAACCACACACACACACACACACACACACACGCACACACACACCCAAAATACCCCAAACTTGGCCCAGATAACAAGCTGTGTTTGAACTTGACGTTATTTATACGTCCAGGGACTTCTGTTGGATCAATGGAAGTTACATGAGAACCGTGTGGCCTTTCATCACGAAAAGAATACTATACGGTACACAGAAACCCTTTGCTGAAACGGGAACCCAGTCTTTTGTTCATGAAAAGCCAAGTGTGCACAACTTCACCGGTACAACAGCAGTAGTAGTGAGTCGTGAACATTGAAGGTGGAACACGTTTTTTGTCCTCATCCTAGCTTCGTCAACACACTTGAAGAAAGACAAGGCCCAGTGCACACACTATATGCGTTTATTCATCTTGTAACACAGCAATGAAGATCAGAAAATTTCCAAGATTCCAGTTTGTCGTGAAGCCGGGGAACTTGTGGGCCCATCTAACCGCCCCATATCTGCTTGGAGTCCGAGGTAAAGGTCCCATTGATAATCTGGATAACTACAACTATTTCACTATTCTCCAAGCAGATTTTTGTGGACTGCAAAGTCCGTATGAAATTGGCCAGCTAACCCCCATATGCCAGGCATTCACCAATTGTCGGGTTGGCGTAAAAAAAAAAGAAACCAGTACAATAAAAACGCCTACAATAATTAAAACCAAATCCCAAACCTCTGCTTGGAGAGTATGTTTTCACAGCTACACCACATGTCCACAGGCAGTCCGACCGGCAGGATTTGATGACGTAAACCGTGGCCTTGAGCAGGCACGTTGGTCTAGTTCTTATAGTCTCCACCCTCCCTTTTTTTGCTTCGTCATCGTAAACATGCGATTCCAGCGAAACACGGACATCAGGGGTCGACCATAACATACGAGAAACGGGTACAATACTTCATGAGAGGAAATGAAAGAGCAACAAAAATAGTGTACAGCATTGAAACAAAATCCACAGTTTCTTTAAACACAGAAATTAAATGAAAAGAAATGGATTTCAACAATAAATCTATTGTATTTAGATAGAAATGGGAGGGAACTGAACAAATCCTGAACATCAATGTAGTAAACGCAGTGGAGAGTTACCGCATGCGAGTTAGAACAGGAAAAGGACTACTACGTATTGAGATAGGAGATAATTTTACTCTCTTTGTATCTCTCTGTGCATCTATCTTTATCTTTTATCTCTCTCTCTCTCTCTCTCACTGTATGTGTGTGCGTGTGTGTGCGTCTCTCTCTCTCTCTCTCTCTCTCTCTCTCTCTCTCTCTCTTCTATTCCATAACTGTTCTTTGTTCTCTACTGACAGTACTGAACCTCCCCTCCCCGTGCCCTGCTTTACGTAAGTAACCTGTAGGCCAGGTCCTTTGGGCACCTTCAGACACACAAAGCAGCGGGCACAGTCTGCCTCTGTCCCAGACAGCCGTGCCAACGTACTGAATCAGACAACAGCATCGGCGGGATGGCTCCAAAATACAGGTCAGAGAGATATTCTAGTACTCGCGAGTCATTCTAAAGTATAGTCAATATATCATCTGTGTAAATCGGACGTTTGTAGGACGTTTGCGGGTACTAGTATTCTATTAAAGCATTGCCACGAGCCACTATGTATGTACACGACTTCGGAGTCATAGTTACGGACAATTTGGCAATTTATATGTATTTTGAACGACTCGGATTTGTACATACTTGAATGTTACGCTAAAATTGAATTATGTCCTAATTCAAAAACATCTTCATGTTTGGTACACATAGGATCGATATAGAAAAAGTGATTACTAGTACTACAAGGTAGGAAAAAGTGACTGTATCCGATAAATAGTCGGTCGCAAAATTTTGGTCGCAAAATGTTAGTCTCTTTGCTAACATTTAGAAATGTTAACATTAGATATAACGCTATCTGTTATACAAAACATTTCATCAGGAAAGATAGGAATGTTCCAAATTCCAGCACAGCAAACCCGTACTAAGTAGAGACACGCCAAGGGTAATGAGAAATCGTGCATCTGGCGTTTCAGATTGAACCAGGGAGATTTGAAACCTCCTTGATTGAACCGATCGACCAATCACGGTGTCCGTTATGACGTCAGAAGACGTGGCGTGGTTTCTGCAGACGACTACCACCTGTGATTACCCATGAGTCCTTAGTGTTCAGAGAAATGTGGGTCAAAGTTGAAGGTTTCTAGCTCTAATAGGTTAGGCCACAGCAAGTAATTTTTATGGATGACATCAACGCGCGCATTAATTTTCGCCTGATTTCGGGAAAAAAAAACTTTGTTGCCTTCTGACAGTGGTCAACATGCCGAAAATGGGCAAAGATGTCTGTTGCCATGCTGGAAGGTGGATGGCAGAGAGGAGACAAGAAAACGCTCTGATTTAATGTTTTGTTTCTTACCTTGATGTAGTGTGATGTGTTCCTTACTTTGTATATGTGATGTTCTCACTGAATCAAAACCATTTGTCAAAATTTTAAAATGTAAGAACCTTGTTTTTTACGACCCGCCTTGTTTTTTTTTCGCCCGCTCGCATTAGATTTGGAGTCTGCGGAGGATGTCATCCATAAAATTTACTTGTTGTGGCCTTATCCCTGCGATTGACGTGATCCAGGGAAGAAACAGTTGCCAGCACACTCGTACGGGGTAGTAATTTTGGCACCATCATTCCCTGAATGGCACTATGCAATGGTGCGGTTGTTTCAACTTGCTTTGTAAAGAAATGGCCAAGTGACTTTTGGTATCGTCCTAAGGCCATAGCAAGAAAAATTTATGGATGACATCCTATACACAGACTCCAAATCTAATGCGATAGGGCGAAAACAAAACAAGCCCACCCCCCCAAAAAAAGATTCCTACATTTTCAAATTTTGATATCATAAAACCTTAAACAAGAATATTGTTCTAAGTTTACTGCCAACTATCACAACATCTATTTGTCACTGAAAAATAAATGTTTTCAATTATTGTACAAATGGTTTTGATTCGGGGAACATCACATATAAAGGGCATGCAATGCATTGCTGCATCAAAGTAAAAGACATCCACGTTTCGGCCAGGCAACAGACATCCTTGCCCATTTTCGGCATGCTGACCACTTTCAGAGGGCAACAAAAGTTATTGTTTTTTTTTCTTCCAACATCAGGCGAAAATTCATGCGCGTTCTGATGTCATCCATAGAAATAACTTGCTGTGGCCTAACGTTACATAATGGCAGTCTCCCAGATCCACGGTAGCCTCTGGTTTGATTCTAGCCTGGTTACCAAATCTATTATAGCTCCCGAGTCCTACATCCCCTCCGCAAATAGAGAGGCTGTAGGACTCGGGAGCTATAATAGGTTTGGTAACCAGGCTAGTTTGATTCAGCATTCTGTGCACGTATCAGGCTGGTGTACTTTAACGTCCGGGGGAGAGCCGAGCTGACCCGACTGCTGTTCGCGGCGGCAGACCTGGAGTACCAGGACCAGCGCTTCGAGTTCGGGTCGGACCAGTGGAAGGAGCTAAAACCAAGTGAGTAGGGGGGTCTCATGCCCGTAGCCAGGATTTTGAATGGGGGGTTCTTCCCACTGCTTGAGGCGACCTCGAGTGGGCGCGAGGTTCCTAGGGGTGCCCGGGGGCATGCTCCCCCGGTAAATTTTGAAAAATGAACCTTCTAAAATGGCGCGCATTTCGTGCGTTTTTGAGAGGATTTCCAAGAAAAAAAATCAGAGATAAGTTTTTATTCAATGACAAAGGGAGCAGTTTTTCTACGATTCCATTCCATCTTTTCAAGAAAAATCTTGGACCTTGACATATAAAAAGTGGACCAAAAAGTGGACCTTTACATAAAAAGTGGACCAAAAAGTGGATCTTTGAGACTTGTGGGGAGGTTCTTCCGAACCCCCCCCCCCC